GAGGGTTAAATGAGTTAAATGTCAGTCTTTATTGCTGTTGCTTTTTTTTCATGCATGTTTAAATGAGCATCGATTGAGGTGTCTGCAGAAATGTCAGATACAAATAACTCAGCATGCCGGCACATGGAGCCAAAACAATCTGCATGACGAGACGCTGAAAGAAAGTTACAATGAATTCATGAGGTAGTTTAGACCCTTTTTTATTATGTGAAAGCTCCATGTGGATGTCAAACTGGGTTTGATATGTGTTGGATTGTAGATTAAAACAGAAAAACAGGTTCAAGCTCTTCCCTGCACGCTCACAGCAATGAATCAGTATTTGGTGATAAGTTGCGTTTACACAGAATGACAGTAACGTCCCCGTTGTTCAGTCTCCTTTACCCGATAACCCGCCCAGCAGGGAGCAACATTAATCATCGTGTGTCACCGAGGCCAATAAACGCAGCACGGGCATCCAGTTAAACAGACGTAGCTCCATGGATTTACCATCAAAGCATCAGGCAGATTTATTAGTAACCATTTTTTATCTTCTCTTCTTCCCTCTGCCGCTTCACGCATTTACACATTTGACATTAATGCTCTTTTCCAGACCATCTGAAACGGCAGCGCAACTGTTTTATTTTTCCCACTGCAGTCAATGAGGAGCGCAGAGGTCAAAGCAAGAGGATAAATGTTACAAATATCTCCGTTTCCCTCGAGTCAAATTACTGATCATCTCTCACCCCTGCTCCTCCTCCTCCCTCTGCAGAGCCTCACTTCATCTCGGCCTACGACATCGGCCTCTTCACCTTCTTCTTCCTGAGGGAGAACGCGGTGGAGCACGACTGCGGCAAGACGGTCTACTCCCGCGTGGCCAGAGTTTGCAAGAACGACATCGGCGGTCGATTTCTCCTGGAGGACACCTGGACCACGTTCATGAAGGCGAGGCTCAACTGCTCTCGCTCCGGAGAGATCCCGTTTTACTACAACGAGCTGCAGAGCACCTTCTACCTGCCCGAGCAAGACCTCATCTACGGCATCTTCACCACCAATGTGTGAGTAAACACAAGTACACCAAGCAGCTGCTGACTCCTGTTTTGCTCCTCATGTGGGGTGTTCTTCATATAAACCATGTCTGAAGCAGATTATACTGCACTTTGTGGCACAACAGCACTGAGGTTGGACATGTAGTGCTTCACCTGTTGCACTCTAAACTCTTTCTTGCTCTCCTCTTTATTCACATTTATCCTGCACCATGTTGCCACACAGTTGAACTGGAAAGTTCCTTGTTAGCATAAGAAAATAATCAAGGAGGCAACAGCTACAGAAGCTGATCCAGTTCTGTTGTCATAATAGCAGCGTTTCAAGGTGAGACTTCAGAAGTTACTGTTGTGTTGTGTTAATGAGTGTGTCTTTGTTTCAGTGCATATGATCGCCTCAGTCTTTAGTCCATGCACACACATGCACACACACTGGACTATATTTTAATGAGAGTCCCCAGTTATAATAATAAGATGTCAGTTCCTGGTATTTAACCTGCTGAACCACAAAACCTGCCAGCGGGTTTCAGAAGCATGTTGTGTTTTCTTTCTTTTTAAGTTATTTTTTTGGCCTTTGTGCCTTTATTCAATAGTGCAGTGAGAGAGAGAGAGACAGGAAAGTGGGGGAGAAGAATATGGGGAGGACGTGTGGGAAAGGGCTATGAGCGGGATTCAAACTCATGACCTCCACATTGGGACTGTAGCCCTACACATGGGACGCCAGCTCAACCAGGTGAGCTATAGCAGCGCCCTGTTTTTGTCTTCCTTTTTTTTTTTAAATCGCCAAAATTACACAATTTATCAGGACAAGAAACCGTAGGAACAGAAAGAATTGTCCAATTTTCGACTTTCTGAAGTCACTTTACTGATTACATGTTCTGTTGGGGGCTGCAAGGTGGGGCAGTGGTTAGCACTGTTGCCTCGCAGCAAGAAGATCCCCGGTTCACATCCCGGTGAGGACACCCGGGATGTTTCTGTGTGGAGTTTGCATGTTCTCTCCGGGTTCTCCGGCTTCCTCTGACAGTCCAAAAACATTGTGAGGTCAATAGTTGGTCCGTAGGTGTGAATGTGAGTGTGCTTGGTTGTCTGTCTCTAAGTGTAGCCCTGTGATAGACTGGTGACCTGTCCAGGGTGTCTCCTGCCTTCGCCCTGAGTCAGCTGGGATAGACTCCAGCCTCCCACGACCCTAGTGAGGATTAAGCGGTGTATAGATGATGGATGGATGGAAGTTGATTCCAGTTGTTTTTATTTTTGTAAATGAATAATCAAAGAAATTCAACTTTTTAAAGTGATTTTTATAACTGGGTCTGAGTTCTCTCTCCTTCCTGCCATCATTGTGATGTTTCCATAGAGGTGCAGGAATTTATATTGCAGTGAGAAAAAAAAACCCACAGTGAAGAAAAATGTGACAGGAAGAAAAGCAAAAAAAGGCGGTCCAGAGGACTGATGATAGTGCAGATCCCTAAACAGCACACAGAAATGATTAATCATGCTGTTCATTACTTCACTCATTTCAAACGCTCGTCTGTAGTCTAGATTGTTTCCCTTTTGGGAGCAGTAATCTAATAATAACTTTATTATCAACTATCACTTATTTCCTCTTCAATCCTAAAATTTGCAGTTGGATACTTTCTTACAGGGCGTAGCTATGATAGTTAATCACAATAAAAGTGCTGCTAAAATTATAATCTAAGAAAAAACTCCTAAGAAAAAAATGCTTCCAGCTACTAAAAGCTTGCTGTCGTTTTCTGACATTTATCTTAAATGAGCTCAGCGTGTGTGCATGATGAAAACAAACGTGGGAATACTTTTCAGATTAGGTCATCTTGTCTGTGCTATTCAGGCCTCTGTTCAGGGATGGATAACGAAATGGGCCGACGATCCCAAAAGAGACACAAAACAACTCACAAAATGGCCACAGAGTTACCTCATAATCTGCCTCTGTTGTGCATTTACAGTGGCAGAAAAACACTTTCATTACAAACCGGCTTTCAGTCAGACGTCTGCGGCGATACGATGCTAAACCCAACTCGAGCATCTACTTTGTAAAGACATTATGAAAGCTGTAATGCATTGCTTCTCCCTGCGCTTTTCCTGAACGTCGCCCTTCGCTGTAGAACAAAAAGGACCAAAACCGGCTGCAGCTGTGCTGAAGAGCCTTTTTCAACTCCGACAGGAATATTAACAGCAGAACAGTGACACACACACAAACACCTCTACACTTGAGCTCCTTTTCATTTAGCTCTCAGATTTCATCGTAAGGTTTGTAACTCCCAACATTTCCCCGCCTGTACAGAGAGTGAGGATTTTGCAAGAGTTTCGAGCCTCCCCGCTGCTGCTAATGATCACTGTGGATGCTGGAAACACTCACACTGACTCACACTCTCTCTGGTGTTTGATTGCTCCAGGTGGGGGTGTCGCACACTTCATTATGAGGAGGAAACTCACAGAACCAAAGTGTGCACATTAGAGATGTGATGATGCCTTTTATGTTTAGTTAAAACTTAATTACTTCACTTTTTTTTGCTTGAAAAGAGGATCGGAGTGGGTGTACTTTAATTTGGTCACCGTGTCCGACTCTGTGGTTCAGAAGAAGTCAAGGAGGATGTTGGTACAACTGTGTAGATTGCAATAAAAATCCCCCGTGGAATAATCTTTTTATCTAGTCACCATCAAGCTAAATGTCCCCGTGGCCAACTCTGCATTGTGACACTAATTATCTTTTTTAAAAACTAATTCTCTGCAACTCTGATTTGTCTTCTAAAGTCACAGTAAAATGCACTTTCTACATGTGAGGTAGTGTGATGAAGTTTTCCAAACACATTCTGGCCCCCTAGAAGAAGAAACCTTTTGATTTTGGCCACTGAGTTTTAATTACAGCTCGTCCCTCCAGACAAATTATCAGCCTGACAACGACCATGGTAAAAACAAGCACATTCATGCTCTCAGAAAGATACGGTATTTGTACATTAATCCCATCATCTTTTCTTAAAACTGGAGTAGGCAGGATGTTTTTTGTTTGTTTGTTTTAGCATAATTTAGAAAAAAAAACACAAACATACAACTCCTTCAATATATTGTAATTTAACTCTCTGAATCCCAAAACCTACTAGTGAATTTAAAAAAAAAAAGTCAAAGTGATACCATTTGTAAGAGCAGAAACTGTAAAAATACAGATAGAATTGTTAGATTTTCAACTTTCCGGTGGTCCTTGAACTACTCATCTGTGACGTGCAGTTCTGTTCGGAAACATGCCCAAATCTAAGCTTAACGTTTAGGATATTTTTTCACGTGTCAATTAAAAATTGGATAAAGAATTTGCACAGATCAGATGCTGCAAAAAAAAAAAATAACATAAAAATCATCAATCAAGCCATTAGTGAAGTAGTTGTAGTAAGTAAGGAAACAAATTACAAATATAAGTAATAAAATACCTAATTTATGAAGAATTCATTTTGTTCATTATTACTCACACCTGTTGATGTTGATACTAGTTTTTTTGGGGTTCTTGTTTATAATTTGTGGCATGTTAACTCTGATATATTGCACAAAAGACAATTTTGAGATTTTTTTTGTTTGTTTGCCTTTTTCAGATACCTGCCTACTGCAGCTTTAATTCCACCTTTTGTCCTTTATCTGTACTCGTGCTAAGGCTCTGAGAACAGAAAACAATATGGTATTTGTTCCACCCCAGCTCTTCTGTGCTGTGTGGTGTAATGAACATTGGAGCCTCTGGGTTCCACTACAAGAGCAGTGGAGTTAGAAAACTTACAGGAATTGTTCTGCATTTTGTTTTTTTTGCAATTTAATGAGAAAGGAGTTACGGACAACATGCGTAATGTGTCAGCTTCACTGAATCTGTAGCAAACAGTCTTTGCATCATGCACAGCTAGTTAATATACTGAGTCTGTTCATGATCACAAATCATATAACATAAATAAAAACTTCACCACGATGTTAGAAAATCAGGAAAGGAGAGAGAAATAAACGCTCTTAGCAACACTTTCATGTGACCAAACAGGAACCACTGAGGGCTACAATGTCATCGTCCACAGTGACTAGAAAACACATCGGACGGATCGAGCATGAGAAAGTTACATGCTTTTAAATTCAGCAGCTCATATCTGAAGTCGCCACATCTGCTGCTTAAATCCAAGTCACGTGAGACTATTAAAAGTTGGTGATAAACGCCGGCAGTGTTGCAGAGCGTCGTCTCGCTCTGTTCTCGTGCGAGGAGGAACCGTCGTTGGTATTCAGATGTATTCTGTGTTCTGTCAGGGGAGAAGTGAATCCTGCCTCTCACCTTCTGCTGTCTCACCTGTGAAGCTGCCGCTATTTGACATTACATGGCTGCTTCCAATCCGCCTAGCAGCCATTTTTTACGGATAGATAGCGAGCAAGAAAAGAAATGGGAAAAAAACCAGAGGGTAAAGACAGAGCGAGAGGGAGACAAAAGGAGATCCAGAAAGAGGAGGGAAATGAGAGGAGGTAATGAGAAAAATTACTGAGCTCTAAGCTTTTGTCTTCCTCCCATTGTCTCCTCCTTCCTTTCGGAAGGGACTCGTTGGTCCTCCCTCCAAAACCGCGTCCCTCGTCGGGGTTGGATATGTTAATGCAATCACCACAAACACTGTCTCCATCTGTCTGGCCTAAATTGAACAGGCTCACAGCTGCTCCCAGGAGTTCCAGGCTGTAAAACAGAACAGGAAGAGCTGGAGCAGAGTACTTATCCCCTCTGTCGGCGTCAGTCTGGACCAGGTCTCAGCACTGTGAGCTCACCTCCTCCTTCCCACCACGCTCTGTCAATGACTGATATGGCTTTTGTTGGCTGTGTTTTGCTCTTCAGACTGTTGCAAAACTAGAATTTTAATCATCAATTAATCTAGCAGTTGTTTCCACTTTCTCCTATGAGAGTATCTGTTGCTCTCTGTTCTATTTCTTTGTCAACTGAACAGTTTGGGTAGTTTATCAGACAAAATTCAACTCAAAAGCAGTTTGAGAATCATTTTATTAAA